AGAGCGTGGTATATCTTGATTTCCGCCCCCCTCAGTCATTTCTAAGTCACTTGGTTGTTGCTTCTCTAACTCAAGGGAGCGTGTTGTAAATGTATGCATGGCCTTGCTGGCTTGGGTTAAAGCCTTTGTGGCTCAACAGCATATTTCCAGGAGTGCTCAATACTGTCTAGTGTACAAAGAATATAGGTCAGAACATGCATGCAGTGATCTTTCCCAGAAGACTACCCCAGGTCTCAGCAACGTGGGGTTTAAAAGCCTTCTGAGCTGCAAATGAACACATTGAGTTGCTTTCTGAATCCATCTAAATTCTTGGCAGGCACCCCTGTCTTCTTTGGCAAAGAGTTCTGCAGCTTAGCTATATTTTTTATGAAGAACTGTTGTCTTAAGTATTTTTTGAACCTGCCATCAGCTGGTTTTGTTTGGCACCCCAAGTCTTTGTACTGAAATTCTTTTATTCATTTTACTGAGGTTTTTGACTCTTGGTTGCTTTTGGTCATTAAGAGTGAGTGGCCATAGTCTGTATCCTTTTCAGCTGCATAACACAGTATTTTGTGCTTGGATTGCCTGCTCTGTGATGATTTGTCAGCCCCATGAGTTTGCATAAATGTCTTCTTTCATGCACCATAATGACATATTTATGTAAGTTATTTATTGTTTGTCCTCTGTTTTTAAAAAGTATCTCCTTTTTATTATTATTGGCAAAACATGCCCCTCAAATGCTTTGTCTGTTATCTCAACAGTGAGTACCCAATGATTCAGCATTAGATGTTTGAAGTGTTTAGCTGAAATTGTTGCTTTTGAGAAGATTCAGTCAATATTGGCATGGTAATAAAGCACATCAGGAAGAATGGCAGCTGGAGAATAATCTCTATAGCACATGAAGACTGGTATATTATATGGTGAGAAATAGTGTAGTTCTATGTTCAGCAGTGTTAGGCTGACTTTGACCTTTATGTTTATTTGTACTTTATATTGCTTAGCTATGTTTTTGTCTAATAAAAAGCATTGGTTCCTGGTCTCACAGAAGTTGCTTTTGAAGTGTTACAAGAATTTCTCTCTTTCCTTGGTAGAACTGTTAATTCCCACTGTATTGTGCAAAACTGTGAGATGTCTTGGCCTGATGAAGCAACTAGACAATGTTATGTTATAAATCGGTTGTTACAACAGTTGCTTCTGAGGTTTCTTACCAGAAGGATGTTGACTGATGTAGAACTTTGGGCTTTTATAAGAGTTACAGTAAAGCACTGGGGTAGGCTAGTGTGGCAGCTCTAGTTGGTTGGCAGTTCTGGCAGAAGTAGCTCCCAGCTGCTTGTGTCCTTCTGTCCTCCCTGCTGCTGTGCTAACATACCTGCTTGTGCAGCTGCTTGGTGATCCACTCTGTGAAACTGGTCCAAATGAAACACAGCCCAACAAGGGGGGAACAAAAGGTTATTTTTCTGTTGAATTAATTGCTGTAACTCTTTCATGTAGAGTACAGGCAGTCATGCTGACTGATGTAATGCAAAGGTTGATTACATGGATGAGTGAGAAGGGGCTGCAGAAGCAGCTCTGAGTGGATAGGAAACCTTAGTCACAGGTGAATGTGAAGCCCTCCTGATTTTAACTGCAGTTCTTCTTTCCTGCTTAAAAGCCTTTACTTGACTTCAGATTATAATAACAATTCAAGAACTACCACAGTCAGTGTAAATCAAATCGATCTCTATTTTCCCAGAACTAGCAATGGTTTGCATGCAATAAAAAAAAAAAGGCCTTGTCCAAATTCTGGAAGGTAGCAAAACAAGAGTTTTGAATGGAAGATATCGTAGAAGTGATCTACTAGAAGAAATTGTACATACATCACATTGCTCTGTGGACCAGAGTAGATGTAAGGTAGAGGTCATTGTTGAAAGATTGGATGTACAAATATCAGTTTTTACCAAATGAGTATCTTCAAATGATTACTTTGAGCACCTATATTTTACAGTATACTCATAAAATAGTTATTCTACACAAAAGCACTGTACAACTGTCTTAATTCTCATAATTTTAGGGTATAGACATATATAGAGAAATCTTGTATTGTTGCTATTAATTATGTCAACAGGCATGTTTTTGAGACTGAGGTACTTTTAATAATACAGTGAATATAATCACATCACAGCATGAGCAGTCATAGAGACTAGACTGGGGCAGTGCAAGTGCTAGTCAGTTTGTGCAACTGGTCGATCAGGAGCAGCTGAAAAAAAGTCCTGTGGTTCTTGCCCAGCTCTCAGCGTTTGTTCTTAGTGGAACCCTTCTTTTGACCAAAAAATGGGTGGGTTTTTCGTTTGTTTTGTTTAGGAGATATTTTTTATTATTATTAAATGAAGTAATTTAATTTTAGTGTAGGCTACTTTTACGTGCAAGAGAAATGTATTAATTAGATGCAAACACATCTCCAGGAAAGGCATGTGATGGAGGCTGAACTCCTACACTTGCTGTCAGTATTCAAGAGAGAATGTTTGAACATGTCTATGCAGATAATGGACATGTTGTTTGCTTGATAGCAGCCAGCATGTTGGTGAATTACCTTCAAAGGTATTCTGCATAAATTGTTATTGTGCATTTCATTTTCAGTATTGATAATTGTCTTTCAGGAAATGGAGGACAAGGTTATCAGCCCAGAAAAAGTTGAAGAAGCAAAATTGAAAGCAAGATATCCCCATCTGGGCCAGAAGCCAGGAGGCTCAGACTTCTTGAGGAAGAGACTTCAGAAAGGAGTGAGTTCTTTATTGTCCACAGGGTATAGACAAGAAATTGCAGAATTCATCTGTCTGTGATTTTTTTTCCACTCCACAGGCCTTCACATACATAAGAGTGCCAAGTAGTCTAAACTTCGTGAAAGCACGAGGAAGAGAAATTTGTTTCTGTAAAACAAGTGCCAGATTGACAGGGTAGCTGTTTACAGCATCAGTCACTTGCACTTCAGAAAAAAATTGAACTTAGAAGCTGGTTCAGTGCTGCTGTGATAGACTTAATAAAAACATAGTAACCACTACGGGTCAGAACCTCATCCCTGTTTTGTACCAATCTTATCTTGCCCGTTCTTATGTCCTCAAAATGTATGTCCACTCTCATTATGCATGTTTTTAGCACATGAAAGCTTAGTATGTATAGTGTTAAACCAGACACCATCTGACATCAGTGGCTTCAGAGTGGAGGTATAATTCTGAATATGCCTTCTAACCCAAAAGTAATTCTAAAAGAAGGAAGAGCGAGTTTGTATTTCAATGTTCCACATTTAACCAGTGTCTCTTTATTTTCTTAGTAATTCAGCTGTTTATTTTTTTAGTTTAATTATTCATAAAGTGATTATGTAATGCCTTTCAGGCATGCTAGAACTCTGCTCTTGGGATAATCCTGGTATATCAGTACCTGTAATAGTGCTCTCATTGCTATCACACTGTTTTTTTTACTATTGTCTGGGCCTTTTGAGTGCATGCAATGATTCCAAGTATGAATTCTTTGCAAACCAGCTGTTGGGAGTTCAGTGCTGATCTAATTCTGTGCTATCTGGTAACATCTCCTGGGAATTGTTACTGTTGGCAGGTTTTTTTGGATAAGCTTTCTCTCATAAGTTGGAGCATATGCAGAAAAGTTAATGGCTGCTGGGCATGGCAGGTGGCAGATTAGGTGACTCCTTTTGTGAGTTATGCTGTTGTCAAAGGCAGCCTAAATTAGATTTCAGTGGGTTCAGTGTATATGTAGACACAGAAGGGAGAGGGTGGGTATGTAATGTGATGATAATTCAGGAAAACAGACCAGCTTCCACTCCCTGAGGATTAATGGCCATAAAGGAATTATGACTGCTTGCACTCTGTGCAAATGTGAGGAAAAATTACCACCAACAATAGCAACCTGTAAAAGCCTTGTTAATTACAGCACTATTTAATACAAAGGTTGTTGCAGCCTGTATTTTCAGATTGAGCAGAGGTAAACCAGTGAGCATCTTAACCAAGTGTTTGGGATTTTGCTACTCTGATGAAAGGTGGCATAACATTGTGGATTCTAGTATATAAACCTGCCTTCTCCAGTTCTCCACTCCTGATGTGGTGGTAATAACTTTTTTCCATTTTATTTTTCATTATTTTTGTTCAGTGCGATGAGTGTCTTAAATGAGGAAGCACCTTTACTTGATAGAGACACCTGGTGTGCTTCAGGCTGCCTGGATTGCTGAAGTTAACATAGAGTGAGGATAGTGAGATGCTTTCAGATAGAGTTTCGGACACGAAGACACCTGGACAGACATAGTCAATTTGAAAGGGAGATGATCAAATACCATGAGAAGCTAGAGTAAATCACAGGAAAATACAGAAATAAGTTAAAGGAAGAAATGGACTGATATTCTAATGCATGAAGGATGGTAGGTTCTCTTGGATGTTCTTCTAAATGTATGTAGTCAGTTTCAGCCCAGATTTTCTTCTATTTGTCAACTGGGACACTCCCTGCCTATTACTGTTTGCTTTCCAGAAATGTCCTTTGTTGGGTGTACACACCATTATATGCACACTTTCTCCAGAATAACAGTAGAAGAGAACCATGGTAAACTATGCTTCTGTAGGGGGATTCTTTTTGGAACTCTTCCATGGACAGATAGGTATCTCTTAACGGCAATAACACATCTAGAGATTGATCAATTCTATTATTACTTAATTGTTGTTTAAGTTTCTTCTGTCTTGAAGAACAATATATAAAAGCCTTTTTACAAATCAGCTGATGCTATAACTTAAGGTCTGATCTGCAAATGCAGTGCTAGAACACTGGTGTAAATAGGGATTACACCATCAAAAGGGTTGAATTGGGAAGGTTTACAAAGAAAATTCTATGGTTCTGATGTACTGCTGACCACATGGGAAAAGCAGATTTGGGAACTTCAGGGCTTAGGCAGGGAATGTTTAGAGCCTTGCATAAACAACCCCTTAGGTGAAGGCCTGTTAAGTGTTGAGATTACTTCCCTCTACCACTCACTGCTCCTGGACGTTTTGCAGCTGCTTAGCACTCATGCAGAGTAAAGGGGATGGTAGAAATATGCTGCCTGGAAGTACCTGAACATAGCAAATAGTGATGCCTGTTGCTCAGCTGACTGAGAAATAAGCCTATATAAAGCTAACTAGGGAATGTTCTCTTCATGTATGATTGTGGTTGTAAGCAGCAGTTGCTATTGTAAATCTTTGTTCTGCATCTAATGTTTTGGCCTCATGACAGTCTGTTCAAAGTCACTGGTTACAAGGACCTTAATGGTAGATGTCATAGTAAGATGTAACCAAAATACAACTTTCCCTGCAAAATGCATTTGAAGACTTGACCCAGACTTTGGATGAAATTCCATGCCTCATCTTACTGTGATGCAGATAAATCATTTATAGTAATTTGGCTTTACCATCCATAGATAACTTAATATTGGACAATAAAAAAGACTGTTAAAGGTAATGCTAATTTAAAAAATGCTGAAATATTGAGGAACACTGCTTTAAACATTGAAACAATGTACACTTTTGTATTCAGAAGAACCTGGAGCTTGGGATAAGAATTTCCTTCACACAGTACTTTTCAGAAGGACTAAGTGGTAGATTTGACTTCACCTAAGAATTGGTTTGGGAATTTTAGAGATTATAGTTTCACTGATTTAATATATGCAGATAAGATAATTTCTTGTTAGTGTGCAGTTTCATGCTGCTTTGATCTTCTGGTACGATAGAGCAGGTGCTGTTCTCCAGCTTTGGTTCCTGCATTGTTTGCTGGTTCTGTGTAGCAGAACTTGTTCACTGCAACAGAATTTACAAACCCCAAGGTTTCACTTGTGAGAGACCAGAGCTCCTGGGAAAACCAGAGCAAAAGTAATGTTCATGTATGGGGTGAGTTTAATGGTATATATAAAACCATAGCTGCGTACTTGGCTGATGTTAAGGGTTTAGGTATGTGTGCTTAATATATATATATATATAATTGTATTTATTTTTTTTCAATCAGCATCAAGCTACCTTGCTGGATCAGGAAAGTTTTATTACAGGTTTTAAAATTGAAAGAATCTGTCTAATCATGTAACTGAGTGTATGCATCTGATAGGATTTCAGGCCTTTAAATGTATGTATGTTTTGTCTTTTAGCAAAAGTACTTTGATTCTGGTGACTACAACATGGCTAAAGCAAAGATGAAGAATAAGCAACTGCCCACTGCAGCTCCTGACAAGACAGAAGTCACTGGTGACCATATTCCTACTCCACAGGATCTTCCACAGCGGAAACCATCTCTTGTTGCTAGCAAGCTGGCTGGCTGACGAGAACAGCTGAACTGCATGATTATTCTCATTCCTGTTATTTCTCCTTAATAGTTATTTCTCACCCTCACATCCCTCTGTTTCTTTCTTACACTAAGTCATGAGACTGACAGCTTTGCAGGTAGCGATAGCATGTGCTGCTATTGTAAAGGAGTACTGTTAAAAGTAAAACGTGTAGTATTTGGACTAGTTGAGAACAATGCACTGATTAAAAAGGACAAGTTTGGTTAGAGCAATGTAATCTACTTGAAAATGTACATATTGCCCATTTCCTAGTGTAGGACTGGTTCCAGCAAGTGACATCGCAAGTTTTACAACTTCTAATGTTTCTGCTTTTGTTATTTCATCTTAATTACAGCATATTTGTATTTAATATAACCTCCAGTTGTGTTGGGTTTTTCTTCTGTGTTTGGGTTTGTTGTCTAAAATAGAGGTTTAGACCACAAGTTGCTAGATGGTGAAGCATGTATTAAAAAAAAGACAGGGCTCTGATTGAATTTTGTTTCTGCTTTTGAACTTGAACGGCCTTAAACCTGTTTCAGCTTTAACAATAGAGTTTTTACTTGGGCAATATTTGCCCATTCTGGTGTAACTCTTGTGAATCTAGTGCTTATTTGGCAACTGCCTGTTGAAGCTGGTATTCTTTTCAGTTTTGTTGCTTAGGACACACTTTTGTTGAAGATGTGAATGAAGTGTGCATGTGCATAGACTGTTGAATTCACTCTTGTGCCATTTTTGTAAATACGGTAGTTTTGCACAACCTTTTGCAAACGTCTATTAGTTTTACATTTTAAAAAGAAGACAATGTGCCAATCAAAGCACAAGTGATTCTGTATCTTTCAAAGTCTTGTCCCAAAACTAAGAGCCCAGAATCTTGCTACTGAAAGTAAAAATTGAGTACCTGAAATTTATGAAACACTTATATTTACACTTGTCTCAGCCTCATGCTTTTGCAGTTGCATATTTTGTTTTGCAACAACGTCCAGCATTCAAATATAAACCTGGAATTTGTACCTGTATTTGGAGGCAAGTGCCCTTTCTGTTCAACAGCTCTTTAGGCTTTTAAAGTTGAAATGCTCTGTCTGATGATGTGGAGATGGCTAATTGTGCTGTTCCAGAGAGTTTCCTGCATGGCAAACCCCAAGCCTATGCTTGCTAAGGTTTGATATGCAGTTGTTTTTAGACTCTGGAAGCAGAATTGTCACGAGTTGGAAGGGACCTCTAGAGATCAGAAGGGTGTATTTTTTTTTTTTTTCTCTTGGACTCCTGAAGTGATAGTAAACTAACTCCTTTTCTCTTTATTAACAGCAGCTTCTCATTGGCTTTGGGGAAACAAAGAACTGGAAGTATTATTTGTGTAATGACCAATTGAGAAGTAGGTAGGTGACTTTGCACATCAGAAAATAGAAGTGAACTTCAGTTCATCTTTATGATGCAGGTTGTAAGTACTAGATTGCCAGAACACAAAGTGTTGATATTAGACAGGTAATAATGCATTTTAAAGCATGTTTGGTCAATTAAATCAGAGTATTAAAAATGCAGTATTTAATTGATTTTAATATAGGTAACCACAGCCTTTGTGTTCTTTGGGCATGTAGGAAACTCTTTACAAAGACCGGTTTACTTTTTTTCTTTAGGGAAGCGGTTCTGAAGCAGCTTAGTAAAAGCAAAACACCCATGTGGTATTGCTAGAAAGCACTCAAAGCTGCATGTTTTTAGAAAGATGTGCTTTGTATTGATGTGATCAGAAAGGTCTTGCAAGATAAAGGACTGCTAATCAAAAACACTAGCTCATTTTCTGTAATGCTTTCTTCTAAAGGCAGACATAAGCAAATGATCAAAAGAAAAGGAAAAATCTGAATTTGGTTTTGTTTTGATTAGAACATGAGCAAAGTATATTGGTGTCTATATGATGTCTTTGGTTCAGAGAAGTTGTTCTAGTAATTACAAAATTGCTAACCTGTTTCTTTTCAAGTCTATGTAGCCCTTTTCTGATAAGTAAATGGCCTCTCTCAAGCCTGTCCTTATTATCCTCCACTGTTGTTATAAAGAATTCTTGATTTTTGCAGAACAGGTTGAAGAAATGGACTTGGTTGACTTCTTTAAGTAAAAAATTAGGCTGGGAGATTAGCAAGGAAAGCAGATACATTGAAGCAAACTGCCTTTTAGAGATTTTTGTCCTAATGTGAAAATCCCTCTTTATTTTTGTATGTATAAATAAAATCAAAACATAATGCTAGGACTGGACCTGAAACAAATTTTGAACCATTAAGGTGACTTGCTGTCTTTTGTCAGGTGCCACTCTTCTGTGGCTCACATAAGGTGAGCTTGCTTGATGTTTGGGAAGGTTTAAAAAAAAGCCATTTAAATGTAAACATTCCACTCACTTAGCTAAGTCTCAGCTTGTCCTGCTGGTTGGACAACACAAGCTCTTCCGATGTTGC